GGGGCATCAACAATACAACATTAGCCCACCGCTTTCAGGGGAGTTTCTAACCACATGAAAAGAGAATCACGCGGACGCCAGACAGGAATTGCGAGCATCATGCAGCACTTAGTCTGACAGAGACCGACTCCATTTCTTCTCGCTAATTTGTCGTCTGTTCGTCGACAACAGTTAAGACTGTGCGTAACACATTCCCCATTTCGCCGCTAGGGATTCTGGTTCGTCACGAACGACTCACCAACACATTACTTTGATGCGAACACGCTGCAGTTGTGAACATGCGTTAGTCTACCACAAAATTCTAACTGATCCAACAGTTTTTGTGTAAAGGACGCCGGACGTCTACGCCACGTTCACTCCTGAGGGTTAGTATACGTCGTTGGGAATGAAAGATGCAAAGTGTCACTTTTGGTGTGGTAACATCCGGTGCTTGTTCACTCGTTTCCATGCAGTCGTTATGTGGCCCGCAGTTAAAATTCACACACTGAGGCTTTAAACCAGTAGAACTAGTCGGACAGAGACAACTCACGAGAAGAGGATCTCACGACTCTCCTGGAGTTCCCTGTTCCTCAGTGTAGCATGCTAATCCAAAGCTGACGAGGGGCCACTCATTGAGGTCTCCCGAGGAGGGTAGAATGTTTACTGTCCCAAAGTACCTGGCAACAGGTTGCAGATGTAGGGCCTCCAGACCATTGTAGTTTGCAGAACATCTACTCGTAGACAACCTGAGTATCATCTTTCATCTACGAGAGGTTAAATTTGACAAGCTCCCAGTTGGAAGCCATTTCCTATGGAACCATTTATACTGCCGAAGTTTCCAGAAGAAACAAAATCTATGGACCCAAAGGCTGGAAGCCGTATCCTTGTTTCTTCCTCACGTTCCACACTCACACAGGGATTTGTGCCGGTAAGTCAGAATCAAACATGACGTGATATTTGTAAATACAATTTGTTTTAAAGGAATAAATGCATACATCATTCAGTTTGGCGATTTACTGAATTTCTGAGTTCACAATGGTAGTGAGAGAACGTTAACCGCATTTTGTAACATATCCAGAAGGCTTTTTTCCGCAGTACAAAGGACTAATACTTAGTTGGCACACACGCTCGCTTTCTTCAAAAGTACAACATTCAGGGTACAACCTTTTCTTTACAGATCAGTTGATTATCAGTCTTGTTGAATTCCATCCAAAGGATGTTAGATGATGTTTGATGATTCCACAGTTACAAGATTGAATGGCAACCGACAACGATAAAAAATCTGATTTTTAGTTCAAATTCATTGTTGAATTCGAGCGTCTCATCTGTTCTGACACTGGTTATCAACATGATTCTGGAAAACCTAAAGCTCCTGTCATACAGGTTGACGCGTCACACCTGGCTGTCGCTACAGCGGCTCACGTGACAAACTTTCAGGTCCGTTCAAATTTCTCATTGCATTTCCAGTTTTGTGATGTGAAGGTGTTTGTCCGTAGGAGGGCTGAAGATAAAAGTGATAAAAAATCACAACAGGAGGAGCAGGGACGGGAAATAAAGTTGTCGTTCACTTGAAAAATACTGGGTTGGTCGTTCTCACCTCACATCAAAAGCAATCAAAGTGGATAGTTGCGGCTGTTCAACACAACACTGATTGTTCACGCAATCTGGGTGCCCAGACACAAGTACCTCCGAAAAAAACTCGGGTACTACCTCCCCTCGCTGGAATACACAATGTGTGATGTCATATACGAGCGGCTCGCATATACAGTGGTGAGTGTCCAACACTACCAAACTCCCATTAAGCATGATGCTCCAAAGAACCGAAGGCTTGGCAACCAAGTTCGACCGCAACGGAGTAGTCCACGCCACAGTACTAGGGTAAGGGAGAATGCCCCTCGCTGTGAGGCCGCCTTTCAGCGAACGTCAACTAAACAGTTACAAACTCTTGGACAGAAAGTGCACCTAGTTCTTAAAAACTGAACATCCTCACGCGCCTACTTGAAGTATCATGGATATTCATTGACTATCACGCAATTCCAAACGAACGCTGCAAAGCAGTTTGGCAAGTTCCGTAATAAACTTCACCTTCTAGAAAACCACATACTACTCGCATGCCTCATCAGTAGTATCCGCCACTATACTAGTAGTACTGGTGGCGGGTAAGTAAAGCCGGTCATTCTCGCACTGGGAAATCACAACAATAGAGAATGCAGTCTGGACTGTGTGGGGCGAAAACACGTTTTCAGCTTACTGGCTGAGTATATGTCATTCGTACATCAGGTTTACCTTCACAGGGGACTCAACTCACTCTCACCAGAAGTTCTGTTTCGTGTAAGTCTTCAAGTGAATGTGGTGCACGCAAACTGCCTTACGTTTCAGTTGGTACGATATTCGAGGTCTTGCAGTATGCTTTCCGGACGAAATACACTACTGACAAGTTTTCAGCCGAGATTCACTTGAGTCACTCGTGGAAACCAAAATGATGTGCACTTGAGTGCATTTGCGGACTTTGTACGATTGGGGTTGAAGTTAGACCTACGGTTGACGGAAACTCCGGGAATGAGCGTAGCTGATGTGCTTCTGGAAGAGCAAACCCGGTCTATAAAGCTCCTTTCTCTTTTCCATGACGAACTGACACACTGAAACTGATCCAATGTATAATTTTTTAGGGATAAGGAAGCTTTGGGACTACACGGTTGAGTGAGAACCCACAGATGAAACTCCTGGAAGAAGCACAGGACCCCAAAGTGCAACGAAGGAATCCATTCTCGACCTTCAACCAAGGTGGACATACGGTAGAAACGGCTAAACGGAAACATCTCCCTGAAATGCCAGCTATTCTGCCATAACGAAGAAGAAAACATAGATGTTTAGCAAGCTTGTGGAATAGCTAGGGAGATTCAGATCACAGGGCAATACAAATTGAGAAGATACTACAAACGTGTTCCCCTTTCCAAGAGCATTTCAAGAATAAAACCCAACTCCACTAAAAATGATTTCTGTTCCCGAATTACTGTTGCACGATTTACTACTAGCGTCAGAGAGGACAATACCACAATTTCAGAAAGTTTGGTGGCGTAGTTCGATGGGGTGATTCACAAATGCAAGGCGAAACGCCGAAAGTCCAAGTAGAATGTAAGAATCATTGTTGAAGAAGTTCACTTGCAAGGTTGATAGAAGTTTTTTGACATCCTACTACCAGCTTATCAGGAGAGTGCGGTTCCCGAGTTTCCGTTAAGCTCAACTCATTAGCACCAATCAAAAACATATGACAGATTATTGCATAACCAGTATACGGAACCGGAATCGGGTTCACTACGTTAGGTTAACTACGGGGACGAGATAGCCCAAGTGGTTAGAGCGCGAATTTGCTGCCGGAAGGTCCGTGGTTCGAATCTGACTTCCGCCTCTCGACTTCCCCTGTCAAGGCTTGGGCAACCTGGAGGTATCCCAGACATCATGCTTCCTTCGGGTGGCATGGCAGCTAGGCACCGCAAGAGTGCTACAGCTGAACGCTTCTTCTTCTAACTACGCCCCCCCCCCTCAGCTAGTTAGGACTGAAGACTATCCCGATACGTTATCCCCATACGTTATACTATCCGATGGTAGGATGAATGAAATCTTCATATTCGCTTTCGTTGCGGAGTACTCGGTATATTTCCAACCTCCCGTTCGATCCAAAAACCCTGATTTTGATTCGTTCTAACATGATCTGTCGCCGGCGTAATGTAATTGCTTGTCCACTGATTCGGTCACGTGATTGCATGAATCCTAAGTCACGTGAGGCTTTTATGCTCTTGAGCGAAATTACTGCCTTCTGTGTGATCGCTCAGGTCTATCTTGTGGAGTCTGTCGAAAGAGTTGAAACTGTACATACAGAGGCATACATTATCTTGTTTCCGTGGTTGATACCCAACTCTATTTTGCCACGAGATTCAGACTGATGGTGAACGGTCATCTGGTAAATTTCGCCCATTCTCTTCGGTTTTTCTTTATGGCTCTAAGTCGGTACTGCAGCAAACATCGGTAGATAAATCTTTCCGGGTGTCATGTCCAGGAGGACGGGATGTTTTCTTTCAGTGGTGCGTTTTAGGTAACCGTGCAAATTTCATTCCTTATACACATGTGTGTCTGTGTGCATATATCCACAGTTTTCCCACAAATCGTACCTTGAAATTTGTTTTGAAAACAGAACATACACGTAAGTGAAGTTTATTTATCTACGTTTCTGCGATTAAACCGCTGGTGGTTCGCCATCATGCACCTGACACACGGGGAGCATATCCCTTAATACTGATGCGTTAGTCGGCACTGTGTAAAAGCGAACAGCTCCAAATTAGACTTTATCCTGAACGACTTCAACCAAGAGCATCCCTTCACTCAGTTCACTCTTGGAACCAAAAGTGTCAGCACATTCCACTTCTTGGGCGTTTAATTAGCCAAGTTACCTTCGGTTTCAATTCACAGGTCCGTTTCCAGAAAGCCCGCCTGGACGGGACAGTACACAAACTTTCATAGTTTTGTGTCCCTGAGGCAGAAAAGAACCCTGATTTACACTCTGCCTAACTGAGAGAGGAGCATTCGGTTCACGGATGCACTGGACGGAGGCAAGCTGCTAACGCGTACAAAGCCAACGATTATCCGTAGATATTTATAACCAAGAATATGCCCGAACAGCCTTTTCAACCATCTATCACGATCGTTGCCAAGAATTCACTCTTTCTGAGTCTACCCTATGAAGGCGATCTGTAGGCCGATACAATCAATCGTCGCTTGTATCAACCCTTAAAGGACACAAATCCTACTGCAACTCTACGGTCTTGGTTTACAACCAATCCTTTGCTCAACCTATACCTCAACAGCAAGATGCCAGTCGCCATCCAAAAGCCGTTTATTTATCATTATCTCGTGTTGCCGTTAAGCAGAATATGTTGGGCGCATAACACAACCTCTTAAGAGAATACGTGAGCATCTCTTGCCGGAACATCACCAGATTGAACGATTCAGCTAAAAACTCAGTCATGTCCCACATGATTGACGCCAGTTACGTGATCGATCCGAACGAATCATCTTTCGTCTACCAAATGCCCAATACGCTGTCAGTATCGATCCAGTGTGGCTTGACCACAGCCGAAGCGATGACAATACGTTGGCAAAATCCGGTACTAAGCTGCCAAAGGCAAGCACTGAGCTTTCCTTAGTCATGTGACACGAATCGATCGCCCAAGTAGCTTGAACGTTCTGTATGCTGTCTGACAGCTTCCAGTTAGATTCGACGTGGGGTGCACTGCAACCAATCGCCCGTGTTCCCCCATTCTCTAATTTAGTAACAAATCTTAGCTGTTTATTTCATCATTTCCCCCTATTCTAATAATTAAAAATGTACTGACCTGTCATCAAGATCCCGAAAACACTGATGTTTTTCATGGTGCTCTTGAATAACGGGTTCGTTTGGCTCCGTTACAACGACACATCTCTTAATAGCCATTTGAATCAAGAGCTAAATGGGCCAAAATCTACTTGTGTAGTTTCTCCTCACGTCCGTTCAGTGACAAGGAGCAGGATAGGAAGAACGTTGAAGACATCTCCAGCCGCATCGTAATTGAAGAACAAGGAGGGTAATGTGAGCAATCCTTCCAAACAATGGGATCCTAGGCTTGACAAGATACGAATTCACAACACTCGTCCAAGCAGTCCCCCTGTTGTTCTGGTGCAATTATTCTGGTGAGTTCACATCAAACAAGACAGGCACCGGATACGAATTCCGCTTTCATTAGACCTAACCAGTAGTTCATTTACCTTGCAGTACCGGGATTTGAACTCCGGGAAGCATACCTGTAGGTCCAAATGGGTGTATTTGAGCTATGATATCCTCACTAGGATCAAAGTGCACGACTTGCACTGAGCCATGGTGAACTCCTCACAATAGATTTTCACGTTTACTAGTTTGACTGTTTTACTGGCGGGAACCAGTTTCCGCAAAACGAATACATTTTGTGCAAGGGCGAGAATACTGCCTTGTGAGCTGTGAAGACGACCCCAAATCAAGTGCAAAATTTTGGATCTTTCGTTAACCATATTCCGCAAAACGAATACATTACGTGGTAGGGCGACAAATTCTGCCTTGTGAGCTGTGAAGACGACCCCCAATCAAGTGCAAAATTTTGGATCTTTCGTTCTTGACCATTTCGTTTACACCTATGTTTAGAACTTTCCAGGAAATCCAAACTTTCAGATCTTTACTCAAGTCCGCTTACCGGACTTGTTTAGCGGTGGAGTGGGTTGGTTAAACAGTTTCCCCGACTTCGCATCTCACCTGACCCCTACATTTTGGATTTTTACTTTTGTTCACTGAATTTACTTGTAAAGAGCTGTCATACATCAGTCAACAAACTCTGTAAAACTCTGAGATATATATTTAAACAGCTAAGCGAGTTAACGTAATTCACTTTGAATTTTAGCCTTCGATGTCGGCGTCTCTAGCGGTTTCTCTGGCAATTTGTTTCAGAATTGAGGATACTGTTCAAATTAAACGTGGACGAGAGAAGTGTCAGAGATGCCCAGAATATTGGACAAGTCTACCCATATCTCTATGATTTGGCCTGTACTAATGTAAGTTTTGTGTCCAAATGGTGGATGAACTAGTTCCACACAACTTGACACGTTTCCTTTGTTAGCTGAGATAAGTAATTCAGCTTCCGAAGTTGATTCTCATCAGTTAACAAGTCCTTGTTTCGGTTAAACAAATAAGGACCGTTTTAACAGACGGTGTCACGTTTCATTGGTAGAAAAATGACCGCTCAGTTTTCGACTACGTTTTGCTGATCTGTCATCCGTGGCCGAGCAGCGAATTCCCCAACTACTGACTGGGAGGTGACCAGTTGAATTCTCCTTATGGATTCATCAAATGTACATTGTTATCGATTCCAGGCAAAGATTAATCAACTGAGCAGTGCTCATGGGCTTGTCAGCCTAGACTGATTCATGGGCGGGACGAAGTCTCGGCTGAACATCCCCTAATTTACTCACGGCATCTACAAATCATATCTGTCGTTTTCCTTTGGCTTGTATCCCTGAAAAACCACTTTACTCCAGATCAGACTAGATCTTGTTCAGAGTTTTTTTTACTGCTTTCCCTTATCCCAGAAGCTTTATCACCGAGTATGTCGTTTGATCTCGTTCGCAGTTTCAATCGGTTGAGTTAGTCGGATAGCGGTTGATCTGTTTGACGAGCTTGGCTTGCAAACGCTTCCGCACCATGTGAAGAGACATCATCAGAGGGTGGCTTGGTGGTGGAGGTCAAGTGTTGTCACCTGATCAACGGTAATCAGATCGTCTTTTTCTCTAAACCTAGTGCAGTTAGAGGCCAGTTGTTGAATACATGTAATAGGACTACCGGTGAGAAACACCGTGCAGCACCAAGCAACGTTGTTGCTGAGTGGTATTCATCTCCAAAACTGGTGCGAGATGCAACGGATGGGTAGCGTATTAATAAATTAAATTCACCAATAAGGATGAAGTAGATAAGGAGCACTTATTCTGTTTTGAGCACAGATTCGCTTCACTTATAGGACGAGCTCTCCATTACAAACTAGGTTCAGTTTTCGGACACTGGGTAAATTCGGATGAGGTCAGGGTTCGCACTCATCACAGGGCTCATTTAATTGATGCAGTAAAATGGTAGGACGTTCTACTTGACGGCATGTTATTGCAAACATGTTTGCCAAACCAAGTATCGTGAACTCTGTACTGAGGTTTCCCAGTGGTGAAGGCGTGAAATCACTGACCCTAAGGTCCGTAGTTCAAACCAGAAGGGTTTTACGTCTGTACGGCCTCTACTCCTACGGTTATCAACCTCAAAGTAGTCGAGTATGTCCGTACAAGTCATCAACAGCTTTGCCATCAGTTACAGCTGAGTACTGGCTGTCTTTTGCCGCTTCCCTTAAATCACTGCTACAATCGTGATGGAATGAGGCCTAACGTGGCCTGAAGAGTTCCGTGCGGCATATCGTATATCTAGGTTTCACCGACAATTAAAGGGAATGCGTACAGGAAAGCCCTTCACCGCGAATTTGATACTGAGCAAACACCAACTAAACAGTTACAGACTATCGGACAGGAAAGTAAACGTCTCATATGTACACAGTTTTTAAAACTGAACATCCCCACGCGCCTTAAACTTTTGTGGATATTCATTGATTATCACGCAATTGTAAACGAACGCTGTAAAGCAGTTCCACAAGTTACCTAACAGACCTCACCTTCCATTGGACGCGAGGAGTTGCGAGAAGGCCACATACTACCCGCATGCTTCATCAGTAGTATCCAGCGTTGCACCGGTATTGTCATGGGTCTTTTTAGAGGGTATTTTGTTTCTTTCAAAGCCAAAATCGTGATCCTAATAGATTATTGGTTGAAAACTCAAGCAGATAACTTAGTATTACTATTCGGACAAGTTATCCCTGGATTTTTTCGAATAACAAAATCGTTTTTTGTCGAAGAGATGGCTTTCGGTTTCATAGTAGGGGACAATAGGCACCGATCATCTACAGGGCAACTGGCGGTTGGCATTCGTTTTGGGGGTTCTGAGTCAAACAAGACCAAATCAGTTGATTCGCACCTAAAGCACGAATATCCACGTATCCATGGTAATGCCGAATGAAAGGCAAGCGGGTGTACCCAGCTGGTGTCGACAAATGCTTAGTAATGCAGGAGCAATATGAATTGTACACGTGAAAGCTGCTCAGTGAGCATGACAAGACGGAGCGTCGAGAGTGTTTGGACGGGCAGGGATATACAACAATAGACTGCAAATAGGTACGAGTAGAAACGAACTGGTAACCTGATGATTTCAAGAGCGGAACGCTTAGGACTTCTGTACGGAAGCATCACAAACGAGAGATTCAGCTGGGTTCCAGGTGAGTCTCTTGCAGAACCAAATTTGTTCGCAAACGAGTGTACTTCGCTAGCTTCCCAATCTCTGTTCTTCCTCAACAGACGGGAGTAGGAGTCGCCTTGTTCACATAGTATGAGCCAACTAAGACAAGTTTTCCAACTAACTGCAAGTATTCATAATACTGAACACGACTCACTCGCTTCTACTGTTCCCTTCTGTTTAACTTCCATTCATCTCCCTTCATAAGAAACTTAGGCATGCCGAGATATATTTCACCGATGCGTGTCTCCATTGCGCCTGAAACTAGACCTGAGAGTTCGTGAGGCTAACAAGTCCTACTCGTGTACCACGCGTAGCAATATTCCCTCTATTCTTTGTATAGATATCCACCTACAAGTGATAAGCGTCTGACAAGGAAATACAGGCAGAAGAAATTCCCACGCCACGAACTATTCCGGGGTGTCTGGGAGATTTCTGAACTGGGGAGGATGAGGAAAGTACGGGGAAAGTTGATTTTTGCTGTCTCTCGTTTTGCTGTTTAGTAATCTACTGAGAAGCTATCCACATGTTGTCCAACGACGTTCTTTTTAGACTGTTTTGCATCACCCATGGTTGAATAGCTGTCAAATCGGGAGGTACTACATCAACCGGTTTTCCGATCGAACCGCAATTGTCCTTGTGGATTCGGAAACCTCCACTGTGGCCGATGAGGAGTTGGCGTCGATTGATGACGAAGATCAGAAACTACTTACTATCGCCAATCGGTTGAACAGTTATATTGTTGGACTTGATGCAGCTGTTGACATCCCACGAGACAAAAAAGGAGGTAGGCTTTCATGGTCTTTTTTTCCAGAGTGGCATAATTATCCGCCAAGTCCAGCCATATTGTTCCTACGAAAATTATACGCATTAAGTGACGGCCAGTGAACGGTACCCAAAAAAAAAATTCAGATTTGGGATGAGGTTTCAACTATCTGGTAGCGATAACCAGGATAAAATAGTTACCCTTTTTGAACCTAAAGCTGCGGACTCTCGAATTGAAAATTGGACTAGAGCGAGACGAAGCGAGGCATTCAAGGGTAAGCAGCATAAAATCAGGCATTGTTTAAATCAGACATCCATTCGTCTGTTAGTTTTTAGGACTGTAACTGAAGACCACTCAGTCATATATCTGACAAGCTGAATGGTATTTGAGCTTTTGGCCAGGAGTGCCAGAGCACTGAATATGCCGAAAAAGTTGTCTGTAGTGGTGCCGAAGATAAGTCATGTGACCGATCAGCCAGAGAGAACAGGCAGTCAACGATAACTTCATAAGTTCCCCTCAAAGAATTGCCAGTAAACTGTACACTGTTCGCTGTCACCGGATATCTGGCCAAGCAAAGAACCCTCTGTCTCGTGCATCATCTGTCTAAGAGACCCCTAGATTCTCAGTGGTGAGTAACCGGGTTTGATCAATACTGTTGGGCTGTGATAGTTCTTCGAAGATGTTGATTTGGCATGCTGTTTGCCAACTGCCTGAAGGATGACAAATAGTCAGGCGTGCACGCACTATGGCGTGATAGGAATCAAGTTGTGTTCCCCAAAACGAACGACGGTTGTGGATTGTAGCTCCTAACCGGTGGCTGATGGCCACGTGATTCAACTGGGTCCAGAGTTGTTTAGGGGGCGAGATGGCTCAAGTGGTTAGAGCGCGAACTTACCTACAGGAATCTTCGTGTTTCGAACCCGACCTCTGCCTCTCGACTTCCCCTGTCTAGGCTTGGGCAACCTAACAGTATCCCAGCCCTCGTGCTCCCTTCGGGTGGCATGGCAGTTGGGCACCCGAAGGGGTGCTACAGCTGAACGATAACAGTTGATTTGCATTTGGTGGTGGCGAGGTGAACGTTTATGCTGACGGTTCATACCGGCTAGAAACGGTTCATGATCGGACGAGTGGCTCTCCGTTATTTGTGCGACGAGCATCGAATCCGACTGGACCACCCAAATGTGATTCCAAGACGACCGAATCGGGCATTGTTATTGTCCACAGAATCACAGTGTCAGTGCACCTTGCTCGAAGAATGCGGCTGAATAAATCTTGTTAGGAAGCCTCCTTCTCAGCATCAGAACTGCAGTCCGTTGGGCCATGAGCCGACATGACGATCAGACATCGCATTTTATGTCGAGAGGCTTTGGGCTTGTTTAAGCTGGATAACCGGACGGACTGTTCACTAGGGTCCGATCCAACAAAACGCGTTCAGCTATGGAGTTGAGTGCAACTCATATATCTCATGAGTCATCACCTCTGGATCACTAGACACACGAAGGGTGGAATGTGAACGAACTGAGTTCGTCCTTGGAGGTTTGAAGTGTAAAACCACGCTTCAGACATAAGCAAGTTTTGGACACATAGTATACATCAATTTTAATGGAGTACAAGGTTTCAGCAAGCAACGTAAAAAGCTCCTATATAGAAAGGATCTCGTGGATTAAGAAGGGTGTTATTTTGTTTACTGTTACTAGGCACCGAGGAGCATAAGGCCCCTTGGTCAGATAACTGACAGTCAAACAGCCCCAGTGATGTTTGTTTGTGTGGTGGGAAGGGGTTAGAAAGGGATATCGGTGAAAACCGAACTGCGCGGGCAAACATTACTTCCCGGTTGCCCAAGCCAAGGAATGGGGTTTGGTTGGTGTACCCCGCCAAGAGGCTTTGACTCTGAAGTCTGACCCGCAAGACAGTGGAAAAGGTTTTTTTGGGACCGTATTCAGAATAATGCACTGGAGGTCAACTGAACTGCTGAGTGGTCGGATGGTGCGGTCCGCTGGAGGTCAATTGAACTGCTGAGTGGTCGGATGGTGCGGTCATTAGGGCTGACCTTTTCTAACCGATCCTTCTTCGGGAGAAGGCAGTATCGCTCCTTTCATTATTGTGGACATTCTGTTTGCCTGAGGGACAGACCTTCCTCCCTTCGGACTCATATCGCAGAGAACAGTACGACTTTATTCTCGGACCGCCTCGTAACACGAGGTCTCGCTGTTGCTAATCTGACTGCTCCCCCTTTGGCCTTCTTGGCACTTTGTGGAAGGAATTTTCAATCAGTGTAGCCCGAGGGATCTTTGCAGTGCTCAAGTCCGACCATCAAGTTAAGATAAGAGCCTTAGGTCAGGGCAGTCATGGGTAGAATAAGCATAACGAGGACGTCAGTTTTGATGATTGGATCTACAAGAGTGCTATTAATAAATGGACATCAGATGATAAAAATATAAAGAAAAACGTAGGAAACGTAATATTATTGGTCACCAATACTGTTACTTACATAAAGTAGGCGACCCTGTTATGCCTAACTCTTGACGATCACTGTGTCGTAAGATTAATTCTGATAGCGTGATGGTGTTTTTACTCGGGTTGGAATGTATTCAAAAGGCACTGTAAGCTGAGCAGGAACGCGATAGGGATCTAAAGGCGGTTTCAGAAGGCTGACGACAAAGCAGCATTGTTTCATAGAAAATTCCAGAACATTGCTTTTTGGAAGGAGTCAGCAGCCACCATCCAACGTGTTCCAAACCAGAAGAACTAGGAGAGTTGTATTCAGGCTAAAAACCTTTGATCAACCTGATGTGGAAGCCTTTGAAATCGAGCACAACCCTCCTTTCATAGAGCTCGCTGGCTGACAGTGGTTTACAAGCTGCCAAAAGGCCGGACTATCC